TAAATGAGGAAATGGGCATGTACAAAAAAATGCTCATAGTAGCCTACCTGTAACTCCCCCAAATCTGAATAATCAAAACACCCATAAACAGTAGGATAAATATTCATTGCAATGCTGGGCAGTAGCAAGAATGCTCCTACAGGGCTCCTCCAAGGCCTGTGTATCAGTTCCTGACTCCAGGTTCTTGTCCCGATATCCCTGATTGATGATTGCAAACTGAAATAAACCCTCCCTCCAAACAAACAAACAAAATACTAAATGTGTCTCAGTTATTTCTTTTGTCATAAAAGTTTAGACCATTTATTAGAATTTTTAGATATGAGGATATTTAGTGATTTATTACTGTTCCCATCATAAAGTTTAAACTTTATAGTCCTAAATAAAATTATAAGGAAAAAATTGTTGAGCCTGCAGATTAATGTCATAAATATGATGAAGCAATGAAGTCACACTTACACAAGGTATGGGTCAGTATTTACAACTAGGGGCAAGAGAGATGTCTCACTTAAAAACACGTGCTGCCCTTCTGTTTCCTGCACATACAGGGTGGCTCAAGACTACCCGTAACTCCAGTTCCAGAATACAGGGACCCTCTTCTAGGTTCCTGGTACCAAACCTGCATATGATACATAACTTACACACAGACAAATAAATAAGTGAATTCTTTGTGGGGGGAGAAATGGATCGTTAGTAAAGAGCACTGTTCCTCTTGCAGAGGGCCTGGGTTCAGGTCCCAGGTGTTACGGTGGCAGCTGCACCCCAAGCCCGGGCATCCATATAACCAAAGAATCTGGGATGTTATGGTGGAGGTTCCACCCAAGACCCCTCTCCTATCCCTCCAAACCCTCTGCGTCTCAGAAAGCCCACAAAATGATGACCCTTCCCCCAGAGATGCTCAAGACTACTCCCACAGGGTATTTAAACTGCCCCTCCTCCCCCCCCCAAAAATAGACTTGTGGTTTTCTGGTCTCCTTTTAAGACCATCATGAAAATTGTATCCATTAAATGTAGACTTTTTATAATTTGGTTTAATTTGGTCTGATTTGGATTGCTGCATCGGTGGGCAGGCTTATTGGGGTGCAGAAACTTTTCACTAGGACCTACATGGTGGTTCACAGCTACCTGTAACTCCAACTCCAGGAAATCGGATCCCCTCTTCTGGCCTCTTTGGTCAACAGGTATGCATATAGAAGCAAAACACTCATATATGCAAGATAAGGTTCTAATTTTAAAATAAATGCATTTAAATACAAGTAGAGCTAAATCATGTGTGTAGCATGAGAAGTTGGGATGTGGGTAAGTGAGGGTGGCTCTCTGGGGCTCTGGTAGCATTCTGTGACTGGACACTGGACCTCAACAGACAGGTGTGCTCTGTCCTCAAGCAATAGTTAGGACTTGTATCTTTTATAAATGTATGTTAAGCGACACACCTAGGGTGGAAACGGTTTGCATTGCCCTAAAAGGCCTTAAAGAAGCCTGAAACTTGGGAGACAAGTAAGTTTCTGGGTGTCAAGGAGAGCCCAGAGGCTGTAAATCGAGCTTGTCCATGGAAACTGTCCTTTGAAATCCCTCCCAGTCCACACAGATGGACAGACATCTCTGAGCAAGTACAACTCGTAGGCAACTGCTCCTTGCCCAGCCCTCTCATCCTTCCCACTGAGCTGCCATCAGTTTCTCTTCTCCAGTCCTCTCCTCTCCATCTTTACCCCTTCCATTCTTCCTTCCTTTCCTCCCCTCCTCTCTAGCTATTCAGCGTGAGCATAAAATTGGAGACAGAAGACTCACCCTGGAATTTCTTTTCTCTAAGCCGTGGTCCCTAACCACGTACCCCAATGAGAAAGTCAATCTAAATAAATGCATAGCAGGGAGATGCAGCCCCAGAGCTGAACTTCAAGAGCCAGAAAAGATGGAGCCTTCCTTGGTGTGAACCATGGTCTGAGCACTGTACAAACACAAAGTTCTTCTTGTCGACAAGAAATGTGAAGCTCTGTCCCTTCACCCTGCCATCAATCAGACCATCTCAGTGATTTCATCTCTGGATAAATAATTCCTCTGATGACAGGGACGTCTTGCCTCTGGATCATAAAGCCAAGATTTAAGAACCCTCTGAGGCAGGAAGCTTGGGGGTAATTAGAATCGTCTGGAACTGCTCTTTAGATCACCAGTGAGGCATCTCTGATTTAATACCAAGTTCAAGACGAGGGACAAGCAACAGCATTTGACTTCAGCTGACCTTCTGTGCCTCCCCTCAGATCATCTGTCTTCCAATGTCCCCTGCACTGACTGGCCTCCTGTGACATTTTGTGAGTCAGAATGACCCCGGGACTGAACTGCTTTCTGAGGTACAGTGAGGATGTTCTGAATCTTGCCTTGGCACCTGTTAACCCAGCTGCCTTGCCATGACCACCATGAGTGTCCTTCCAGACAAAGACGATGATTCCCGTCCATGATGGCTAATCTTGTCAACTTGACACACTGGGAAGAGGGCGTCTCCATCAGATTTACCCTTTAGACATGTCTGTGGGGCATTTTCTTGGTTGCTAATTGATGCCCAGCCTCCTATGAACAGTACCAGGCCCAGGCAGGTGGGCCTGAACTGTATAAGAAAGGTAGCTGACCCTGTAACAAGCCAGTAAGTAGCATTCCTTACTATGGTCGATGTTTCAGCTCCTGCTGTGATTCCCTGTCCTGACTTCTTTCAATGATGGATTGTGACCTGGAAGTGTTAGCCAAATAAACCCTCTCCTCCTCAAGTGCTTTTAGTCAGTGTTTATCACAGCAACAGGAAAATAATTACAACACCCTTCTGTAGTGCCTTCCAGTCACTACGCCCCACAACGCCAATGCCCCTTGTACATAGTCTATTATAGCAGGGTTTGCATGGCAGCAGTATCGGCTGATGTGGTTTTCCGTTCCATCAGACTTTGACCTTTATGAGGGCGGAGGCCACACTTATGCATTATCCCTTACCTCCCTGCATGTTGCTGAGTGTTTTTATTGCATTTTGATAACACATGGAATATGAGGTGACATCAAATTCAACTCTGACAGACATACAAGAGCAGCTGTGACATTGCCCCAAAATCTCACTGTCACCGAGTAACTAGTCAATTTGGTGTGTATTCTGCCAACAATTTGCATATTAAAATATAAATTATCAATGTCAAAATTTTCCCTAAAGATAATAAAATCATTGTCTACATGCTGTCTTGCAGTTTGCTTTTATTACTAAACAGCATACGATAGACACATGGGTTCCCAATGAAGCCCGTGTCTCTACCTTGTTTTGTTTTGTTTTTAATTTTGAGGGATTATAATGTAACATCTCTCCCTTCCCTTTCCTCCCTTCAAACCTTCCCAGGTACCTCCTCTGCCAGTTCTCTTTCAAATTCATGACCTCTATGCCTTTAGTTGTTGTTACACACACAAACACCACACACACACACACACACACACACAAACACCACACACACACACATACACACACACACACACACATATACACACACTCACACACCATACATATACACACACTCACACACACACACACAAACACCACACACACACACACACACACACACACACCACACACACACACACACACACACACACACACACGGATCATTTGGTATTGGATAACCAGCTGGTGTGCTCTTCCCTGGGGAAGACTGTTTCTCCTGCTGTCAGCATTCCTGAGTTGCCTGTATTCTCAGGACTGAGGCTTCCAGAGCTTTCTACCTTCCATATTAGCATCTCTATCCCTGTTCTGGTCGTGCTGAGGCACCCATGTTGTCCACCGTGTTTTTAACAGCTGTGAGGCACTCCATTGTGAGAGACTGCACAGTTTATATACTGCTCTTCCATGGACAATCCTGTGGGCCTCACACACTTTCCCTGCTACACAGTTTATCACTGGGAACTTTTTGTTCATAATTTTTCATAGCATTTTTTGCCTATAAGGCGGTGTTTTTCAAGGGAAAAGTGTAGGTTTGAAATGTTAGGTCCGACAGCCCCCTTTCATTTCTCAGTCAAACTGCTGCAGTATCTAGACCCAAGAGTCCTCCAGAAATGTCTGCTGGCTGCCCAAACAACAGGACTCTGTAAAAGGAAATGGCCATAAAAGACTATCTCTGCTTATTTGTTTATTTATTTATTATTTATTATTTTGGGGTTTTGGTTTTGGTTTTCCCAGACAGGGCTTCTTTGTGTAGCCTTGGCTGTCCTGGATCTAGTTCTGTAGACCAGGCTGGCCTCAAACTCTCAGAGCCTGCCTCTGCCTCCTGAGTGCTGGGATTAAAGGTGCGTGCCACCATTGCCCAGCTACTCCTGGTTCTTGGTGGAGTAGGTTTCAGAGAGTGGGCCTAGATGTTGAACTCAGTTCCTTTTTTAAAGACTCAACATAGAACTTCCTCCCCATTAGGCTAACAAGGAGGATCATACCATATTGGTGTTTACTCACTTTGCCAAATATGTCTAGCCTAAATAAAGAAACAATACCAGTAGTAATTTCTGATTTAAAAAAAAAAAAGCTCATGGTCCTAATGAAATACCTGAATCTTGTATTAGTTAATTTCCCCTCACACTGTCGGCTGGGAAGTTCAATTCTCTTTGACCTGGGATTGCTCTGCCTAATATCCCACTGCGGTGCTACAATGGAGCTCAGTGGTTGCTGCTGCCTAATAAGTAGGAATCCCAGGGTCAGCGCATGCCTCCATTGCATTTTACTGCAGATTCCTATCAAGGGTAATAGCAGTGGCTAACCTCTTTATAAAGAGTTTGTTTGCATTGCTTGGCTTCATTTTTAAGTCACAGTGAAGGGGGACAAGACTCATCGCTGAGTGAGCATCAGAAGACGGGGTGATCACCTAACAGTGGGGCCCCCAAAAGACAGA